GTTACCAATTACTTTTGTGGAGGGGAGGTTTCTATGAGGTTTAAGGAGCTAATGGCAGATAAAGAGCTTAACTATCTGCCCACGGTAGGTGTTGCCATGGCATTGCCAACAGGTCCCAAACTTGAAACACCTGACATTAAAGGCCATGTGTTTTGTTTCTTGCCACTGCCAGTGCAGAAGAAGAGCTTAACAGGTTTGCCAGTACACGTTAACGGCTTCTTTGCCTTGGGTCAGAACAGGCGTTATATCAAATCTCCAAATGCGGATCAAGAGGATCAGGAGTCGTTTGGTCGACAGCTGACGGACAAGTCGTTACTATGGAACAGGTGTCTTCTCGAGGAGGCCATACCCAGAGCGTATGCCACGATGATTTTGGAAGCCATTCACGAGAAATCAGTTTTCGTACCAAGGACTTCCATCTTCAAGTAAGTGTCATTTTCTGGGGCAGTGACTCGGTTAATAACTGTCATGCGCTTGGATAAATTTAGCTCCAACGAAAAATAGAATATTGCTGGCTCTTAGACGTGCTTCGACGGGATTTATAGATTATTACTTCTATGCTCAGAGGTCATCACTGGTGGTTAGCACGTGATATGTTTTTAGTATTGTTGGACCCATGTTGTTTCCACGAACCCGTAATTTCTGGTGCTTTTTACCGTGTGTTAGTGATCTAGACTTGTTGAAAAATGTTATTTTACTCTAAAACAGAACACGTAATGCAAAGAAGTTACCCTTTTCACGGTCGAATTAGGCTTGATCTGCAGCCGCCGTTCACCGAGTCCACGCTCGGTTTCCTTAGAGAGAGACGAGATCGGACTCGAGAGAGCGACGGAAATTGAGCCAGGAAAGAAATGTAATTTTAAAAATGTCTACAAGGCTGTAGTATATCTTGGAAAGAGCCATGCTTGCTGTACTGGTTCGAAACCGAGGAGCTACTGCATTCTCAGGCTTATTTATTTCTTGCAGGGCATGGCCAGATGTCAGCTCCATAGACCCGAAGTGGGAGAAGATAGAAGAACCATTGTTTACCCTGCTACTGCAGAAAAAAGTTGTTTATACCCCGGCACATCTTGGGCAATGGTTGACAGTAGAGAAAGCTGTTTTTGACCTACTGCCTGAAGATGAACCAAAAGAGCTACTTCAGCGAGTATTACTAACTGGTGGTGTGTCTATTGTCTCAGTACCAAGTCATGTCACGAACGCCATTACGTCCCATGCAGCGACCACTGTAAAGACCATCACACCGAGTCGTACAAGAGCAACACTTAAGAAAGACCCTAAATGCTACACGAAACTTGTCAGACGAGAGAAACTGCTTCTTCTTCAGTTTTGTCTTAAAGATTGCAAATTTAAAAACCTCTACGACTTGAAGTTGTTGCCCCTCTCTGATGGCACATTCACAACATTTTCAGATCGGGGAGAGAAAATTTATATCTGCTCACCTAATCATCCCCAAGAACTTTTTCCTGGTCTAGAACACCGCTTCATTGATAACACAGTCGATGGGGACATCACTGGGAAGCTGAAAGAAGCAGCTGATCAAGGTAAAACGAGTTTTTTTGGATAAGGGTATGGTTTTATCTTACCGAACATTTGTTTATTCTTTGTATTAGTATCTACAGTAGTTAATGACATTCCTTTCATAAGCCGTGTGGCACAGTGGAAAGCAGAACGGTCTTACAACGAATAAGCTCACCATAATTGTAACAAAGACGACTGATANTCTAAAGATGAACCTAAAGAGCTGCTTCAGCGAGTGTTGCTAGCAGCTGATGTGCCTGTAGTTTCAGTACCTAGCCACGTCACGAACGCCATTAGTTGCTATGCAGAGTTAAAGAATATCACTCCCAGTTGTACAAGAGCAGCGTTGAAGCAAGTCCCTTCTTGTTACCAGAACCTTGATAGACGAGAGAAACTACTCCTTCTTCAGTTTTGTCTTAAAGACCGCAAATATGACAAACTCTGCGGCTTGATGTTGTTGCCCCTCTTCAATGGCACCTTCACAAAATTTTCAGATCAGGGAGAGCGAATTTATGTCTGCTCGCGTAATCATCCACGACAACTATTTCCTGGTTTAGGACACCGTTTCCTTGACGAAAAACTCGATGGGGACGTCATTGGGAAGCTGAATGATGCAGCTGATCAAGGTAGAATGATTCCTATTTGGATTCGATTATGGTGTTATCTTACCGAGCATTTTTTATTCTTAATTTTAATATCTACAGTAGTTAATGGCATTCCTTTCATAAGTCGCATGGCACAGCGGAAAGAAAAACGGCCTTACAACGAATTAACTTACCAAAACTGTAACAAAGACGACTGAGGCATGCCGGTTGTTATCCTTTAATCAATTCCTTTTCGTTGGTTTTACATTATTATGGTGAAAAACGTCCTAATATTGCGTGTCTCATGAAGGAGACCGTCACTCTTTATGTTGTTATGGTTTTTTCACAGAAGTTACACAATTACGGCTATTATGCGAAGATGATGTACCATCTCTTCTCTGGGAGGCCTTACCGGATGAGTGGAATAAGGGTAATACCGTTTCGTGGTTCCCCGATGACAGTAATCACAATCATCCCCCGAGAGACTGGATCAAAGTTGTCTGGAGATATCTTCAAGAACATTTCACGAGAGAGGAAGATATTCAGAGCCTTGGAAAACTACCTCTGATTCCACTCAGCCTAGTACACACACCTTTAACCTTGGCACGACTTTGCCGCCCTTCTAGAGTTGTTGTCAAACGCCTAAATGATGATTGCCTCGACGA